GGGGTGATGAAAATGAGCGCCCCGTTACTACTAAGCGTGGAAGCGAACCGTGAATACATCCTGATGCGCGCGTCCTGATCCATTTACCGCGACCGCAAACCGGGATGGATCCAGAGGAGACGCCACCGTGCGCTTTAAGCAATAATAACGGATCCAGGGAGGCTGAACGTTAAATGTAATTTTAATTTTTGTAAATTCTGACTAAATTCGATCCTTACCTTTTAAAAAAGTCAGTTATATTTATTTTAAACAAGCAATTCGATTCGGTTTCCCTGTGCGTAAAAACTGCCCAATTATCGCCGAGTGCTGCCGACACGTGTTCTCTGGAACATTATCATCACAGATGTAGAAGGGACAGGGAACGAGGCTCCGTGGTGTATTTCCTCCAAAGCGACACAGACCGGCGGTGACCGTCCTCTGGATCACTGACGAGCGCTCGGCAAAGTCAGGACGCGTCACGCCAAGAAGGGGACGCGGCATGCAACAACTTTAGTCATCACATCCTAACCTCCGGGCGCGCTGGGTGTCACAGCTGCGCACTCCGCAGGCACGAAAGTCACTTTTTAGGAGAAAAAAAAACCACCCAAAACAGCTGTTCCCTGCTGTTTTTTTTTCTTTTTGGAATTTTTTTGAGAGCCACAAAAGGACGCAGGAAGTAAGCCATGCTCTTGTCAAACACAAATGAAAGTTAGAGCACTAACCTGCCCATTCTTGCACAGGTCTGCCCACATGCTGGTGCCATCCCCTCCTCTCATCAGCACATGGTAGATGAAGAAGTACGTGCCCGGGATGCTGCAGATGAACTTGCCCGAAATGCCGTCGTAGTTGTTGCCCAGGTTGGTGACCACGTCGTCAAACTTGAGGATCTCGTACCCTTCGTGGGGGTTCTTAAGCCCTGCGTAAAAAGCCACCCGGGGTACTGTGCTGTAGGTGGCCGTGCTGATAGCTCCGTTTCCTCCGAGACCCAAAATCCCAGTCCTTCCCTGATCCCCTCTGTCTCCAGGAGGCCCGGCGGGGCCCGGCGGTCCTGGTTCTCCTGGCGGCCCAGGTGGCCCCGGCTTCCCCGGCCTGCCGGGTTTCCCCTGCGGGCCCTGCAGTAGGGTGGACGGCGGAAGGATGTTGCTGTTGTCGCTCAGCGCCTCCGCCTCGCCCTGGAGCCCGGTGGAGCTGGTGCTGCTCGCCGGCGTCCCCTTGTTCAGGAAGGGGTCGCACACCATGCGACAGGTGCCCAGCATCTCGTAGTGGCTGGCATCCGTACTCACAGAGCTGACAAGCACCGGGATGAGAACCACCAGCACCAGCACCAGCATAACCCCCACGGCAGCCGCCACCAGGGTCTTCCTCCCGATGCTGAGTCGGGGAAGGGGCTGCGCTGCCAGCGTGGGTCTCCCTGGAGCGGAAATGGTGCCTGCTTTGTGTGGGGAGCCCGTCACGGAAGGAAAAAGGGACCCGGAGATCCCGAGGAGAGTTGCAGTAGGAGCGGTGAGTGCGCGAAGGTGTGGCTGAGACCCACGGACACTTGGAAGTCCTCACAGCTCGGACTTGGTCGCGCCAAAAGTTGGCAACCGGTCACTCACACATGCAAAAAAAAAAAAAAAGACCCAAGGAAGAAGCCGCGCCAAACAAAGGGAAAAAT